ATTCAGTATAGGGGCCTTACTAAGGGCATTTTTCTATAGACACAAGTACATACAGCCGCATTGCAAAATCGTTTCAATTTTACATGCTTACTTAAAAAGGTCTTCCGTTAAAGGCTTTTTAGAAGATTTTCAGTCGAAGGATTTGTAAAATAGCCTTATAGGAAATTGCATTAATAATTATACATTAGAACTTATAAGAATTATATAAAGCAAATTTTCATACAAAATTTGATTCATAATTCTTTGATAAATGTGCAAGAATCCTTTTAGTAGAGGAAACAAAATCCTCCTTGAATATCTTTTGCGAAAAGGCAATGAGAAACTTTCATAATATATAAATATGTCTTCAGAAGGCCCACGAATCGAAGTCCTAGCATTTTTCCCCGCTACTTGTGCCTTTTTCTGAATGTCATAATTTTTTTTTCGTATTTTAATAAAATTTTTATTTTTTTATGCTACCAAAATTTATGTAGCATTGCTACCAAAATTTTGGTAGCATTGCTACTTTATTTAGGTAGCAGTTGCTACCAAATTTTTTATTGTTGAAAAATATAATATCGTTTATTGCTACTTCAGGAAAAGTGGGCCTTCTGAAGACATATTTATATATTATGAAAGTTTCTTCCTTTTCGCAAAAGATATTCAAGGAGGATTTTGTTTCCTCTACTAAAAGGATTCTTGCACATTTATCAAAGAATTATGAATCAAATTTTGTATGAAAATTTGCTTTATATAATTCTTATAAGTTCTAATGTATAATTATTAATGCAATTTCCTATAAGGCTATTTTACAAATCCTTCGACTGAAAATCTTCTAAAAAGCCTTTAACGGAAGACCTTTTTAAGTAAGCATGTAAAATTGAAACGATTTTGCAATGCGGCTGTATGTACTTGTGTCTATAGAAAAATGCCCTTAGTAAGGCCCCTATACTGAATCTTTTTCCCGTTGAGATATGTGTTTTGTTAGTTTTTTTTTTTTGTCGAAGTTTTTTTTTTATTCTATTGCTACTTCAATAATTTGGTAGCAATAGAACGATCAACTAGTAGCAAATATTTCTATTGCTACTTATCAAAAGTAGCAATAGAATTATTTATATTTTTAAGCTACTACTCCATTTGTAGTTTATGTTTTATTTAGAACTATTTCTACTGCTACTGTTTTATTACTACTGCTATATTTTGAGATTTACTTTTTTATAAGTAGCAAAAGTTTTAAAAACGTATGATTATAAAACAAAACAAATGCTACTGCTACAACTTCAGACAATTGTTTGGAGCAGTAGTTAAAGCAATAATATAATACTTGGTAGCAACGTAGTTTTTCTAACACTGGTTATTTTTACAATAAAAAGTTTCTAAACCACTTTTGGCCCTCTGAAATGATTTTGTAATATTAATTTTGCCCTCTGTTTACACTTGAGTTCCTCGATACGTTTCAGTAAAAGCACTCTTAAATATGTTTATATTCTCTGTTTTCCAAATGACGATGATGATGATGGCGATGTTGAATTGTTTTCTATTAGATTCTTATTTTATTGGCATGACAACGCATAAAATTTTATTATTATTGCATTTTGAACACTTCAGTTACAGACTTATTTTTAAGGGGTTGTATGTATGTCAACTGAATTTGTCAAATCATTTGTAACAAAATATTAAAGAGAAAAGGATTATTGATTGGTTACACGTTTTTCATTGTAACACTTGATATTGATGGATTTATGTAACATTGAACAATAATGTAAGAAACTAATACTCATACAAAGCAGATAAGAAATTTTTGGGTGAAATTACACCAGATGATGGATGTATGATTTAAGGGCTAGGTCACTAACTTTATTTTTTAAATCTAGAAGTTTTATATGGTTTTTGAATTGACATTTTAATCCTTATATCCTGACAAATTATTAATATTAATAAACTTAAAGTGTTTCATTTCATCAACCATCCTTTTAAAAAGCGTATTGCTTAACCTTCAAAAATTGTATTTTAACACGCAATATAGTGTGAAGAAAATGTGTCCTTACCCTAATTATATCCTGCCAAGACTATCCCTTTCGTTTAAAACCTTTTTTTAATTTGTCAATTTCTAATGTTTGACAGCAACAGTTGTTGCCTCTCTACCAAACTGTCACGGTGGCGTTATTATCACAGCTAAATTCTTTGAAGTTGGATTTTATGTTGAAGACTCCCCTAAGACTCCCCCCAATAACGACAATTTAAATACGCAAATAAAAGTACCAACTGTCTAGTATGAGTTCAAACAAATGTCTTGATATATGTAGGTACGTTGATACTTCAACAACTAAGTGTTTTCTTAGTAAGTATGTGGCACATTTGATGTTGAAAGTGTTTAACACCATGACATGTGGGTAGACATATTGCGCTTTTAATAAGGCATTTGAAAACGATTTATTAAGAAAATAAAATTTTAAAGAAATGAGCAATTAGTAAAGGGCGTAATAAGTTGAAAGATTCCCAAAACGGAGTAATCAAATGTGTACAATTAGGGCGGTAATTTAATTAATCAAAAAATAAATTTAATACCCTCAAAATTTAGCTCTTTCAAGTTTTAATATCTAAAAGAGTTATTTTCTTTTTTGAAATTCCGTAGAATTTCATTAAAAACATATCAAACAAGTGCTTTAGTCCTTTGTTTCTAAATCTCAAAAGAAAGAAGCTTAATTAATTAAATCATAAAAAAGCTTAATTTTTAATTGAAATCAAAAATCTTTCTACAATTCATACATTAAAAATTACAAACGATTTTATAAATAACATTTATCATTATAACTTTTATTCCACAAACAATTGTCACTACAATTAAAAAAACTATAAAAACAATAAATTTGTTCATGAAAAAAAAAATTTAAAAACTTATTATATTGTCATTTATCATTATAATTGCTCATTGAGTATACGTCACATATGCCACTTACACAATAGGCATTTAATTAAGTATTAATCATACGCCACATATGTTATGTATTACATATGAATAATAATTATTATTAATCATAAGCACAATTTAACCAAATAAATTCATAAATATGTAAATAATAGGTTGAATGTATAAAAGGAAATGTGTGTTTTATCAAAAAAATTTAATTGATTGCAATATTTAACAAGTAGCAATATGCCACTACAGTGCGATAATGCTTTTCGATTCAAATTGTTTTCTCAAATATCCTTAATCACACTATAAAATTTGCTGTACTATAGATAGCTATACACTCAAGTACATGCATACAGTGTGAATTTTACTTCTATTTATTAGAAGTAAACCAAACAGAATCTTTGAAATTTATTAAGAAAAAAGCTTAAGCTTATCTAAAAATGTTAAATTTTCCATAACAACAACTTGGTTAGAAAAGCTTTCCATAGATCAAATTTAGCTGCTAATAAAGCTAGCAGTAAGCTTTCAATACATACGCTTAAGCTAGCATTAGACAACCCTTATATAGATCAGAAAAGCTTACGCAAGAACAGCTTTCTAGAAGTCCGCTTGAATTAAAGAAAAGCCTTATAGAGGTCAGCAAAAGCTAATGACAGATGAGCTTTCTAGAAGCCTTCTTAACTAGAGATAAATTACAATTTTATAGGTCAATTTGAAGTAATCCAGATCTTAAGCCCGCTATATATGATATTTTTGTAGAACAGCTTGATCAAGCGATAGATGAGCTTTGTATAGAGCAGCCTTAAGCTAGCGACATAAGAGCTCTCTACAGAATAGCCTTGAGCTAGCAATAGATGAGTTTTCTATAGAGAGCTAGCGACAGATGAGCTTTCTATAGAATAGATTAAGATAGCGATAGATGAGCTTTCTATAGAACAGCTTGAGCAAGCGATAGATGAGCTTTTTATAGAAAAGCATGAGCTAGCGGTAGATGAGCTTTTATAGAAAAGCTTGAGCTAGCTGTAGATGAGCTTTCTTTGAAATAGCTTGAGCTAGCAATACATCTTTTTAAACAGCCTTGAGCTATCTATAGAGCAGCTTGAGCTAGCGATAGATCAGCTTTCTATAGAGCAACTTGTGCTAGCGATAGATGAGCTTTTTATAGAACATCTTAAGCTATTGATGGATGAGTTTTTTTATAGAACAGCTTGAGCTAGCGACAGACGTATGTATAGAAAAGCTTTAGCTAGCGATAGATGTGCTTTCTATAGAACAGCTTGAGCTAGCGATAAATGTGCTTTCTATAGAACATCTTGAGCTAGCGATAGATGTGCTTTCTATAGAACAGCTTGAGCTAGCGATAGATGTGCTTTCTATAGAACAGCTTAAGCTAGCGATAGATGTGCTTTCTATAGAACAGCTTGAGCTAGCGATAGATGTGCTTTCTATAGAACAACTTGAGCTAGCGAGCGATAGATGTGCTTTCTATAGAACAGCTTGAGCTAGCGAGCGATAGATGTGCTTTCTATAGAACAGCTTGAGCTAGCGAGCGATAGATGTGCTTTGTATAGAACAGCTTGAGCTAGCGAGCGATAGATGTGCTTTCTATAGAACAGCTTGAGCTAGCGAGCGATAGATGTGCTTTCTATAGAACAGCTTGAGCTAGCGATAGATGTGCTTTCTATAGAACAGCTTGAGCTAGCGATAGATGTGCTTTCTATAGAACAGCTTTAGCTAGCGATAGATGTGCTTTCTATAGAACAGCTTTAGCTAGCGATAGATGTGCTTTCTATAGAACAGCTTTAGCTAGCGATAGATGAGCTTTCTATAGAACAGCTTAAGCTAGTGATAGATGAGCTTTCTATAGAACAGCTTAAGCTAGTAATAGATGAGCTTTCTTCAGGTCAATTTAAGCTTTCCCGAGCTATACTTTGATAGTTAATCTCTTGCTTACTCAAGCCAAGCTCAAGCTTTTTTTCGAAGTAATTTTGCTTTTATAGCTTTAAAGTTAAGTTAAAGGAATTTTACTAATTCATATTTTTTGTCATCCACTGTTTACTAATCTCGCCCGCCTTCAAAATTCTTCTCCTTACTTTTCAGATATTATAATGGAAAACAACGAACTGTTTGTTACATGCTATGGCCGGATGGTCGTTATCCCACATCTATATTAGATTATTGGTAAATATTTACACATTTTCCACAATCATTTAAAAACACCTACAAACACTTGTTTTACTTATAACACAACTAACACACTTCCGTTTAATCTGTAATTCTTCCCTCAAGCTATAACATCATAATACTGGTCATAACATATGGCATACCAATGGTTGTAATGTTAATCTGTTATTCTCTTATGGGACGTGTATTATGGGGCAGTCGTTCGATTGGTGAAACCACTGAACGACAATGGAATCAATGAAATCAAAACGAAAAGTCGTTCGCATGTTTATAGCGATTGTTTCAATATTTGCGATATGTTGGTTGCCCTATCATTTGTTCTTTATCTATGCATATCACAATAATCAGGTGACATCGGCGAAATACGTGCAACATATGTATTTGGGTTTCTACTGGTTAGCTATGTCGAATGCCATGGTGAATCCCATTATCTATTATTGGATGAACAAAAGGTAGGAATTTCTTTAAATTGAAATGTGTATTATTTTTATGGATATAAAGTTAATATTCTTTACTTTTACAGATTTCGTTTATATTTTCAAAAAATCATATGTTGTTGTTGGCATAAGTCGTCTAGTAAATTGAATTCACCACGCAGCCGTTTGACTTTAAATAAAAATTCATCGAATAATTTAACAAGAGGTAAGTGTTGAGTAAATATTTAAAAATAAAGATACTTTCTATAGGTAGCGACTGAAAATTTTCCATAGAGTAGTTAGTTGAGCTTTCTATAGAACAGTTTGAGCTAGCAATAGATGAGCTTTCTATAGAACAGCTTGAGCTAGCAATAGATGAGCTTTCTATATAAAAGCTTGAACTAGCAATAGATGACCTTTCTATAGAACAACTTGACCTAGCGATAGATGAGCTGTCTATAGAACAGCTTGAGCTAGCGATAGAAGTGCCTTCTATAGAACAGCTTGAGGTAGCAATAGATGAGCTTTCTATAGAACAGCTTGAGCTAGAAATAGATGAGCTTTCTATAGAACAGCTTGAGCTAGCAATAGATGAGTTTTCTATAGAACAGCTTGAGCCAGCGATAGATGAGCTTTCTATAGAATAGCTTGAACTAGCAATAGATGAGCTTCCTAAGAAACAGCTTGAGCTAGCGATAGATGAGCTTTCTATAGAACAGCTTGAGCTAGCGATAGATGAGCTTTCTATAGAACAGCTTGAGCTAGCGATAGATGAGCTTTCTATAGAACAGCTTGAGCTAGCGATAGATGAGCTTTCTATAGAACAGCTTGAGCTAGCGATAGATGAGCTTTCTATAGAACAGCTTGAGCTAGCGATAGATGAGCTTTCTATAGAACAGCTTGAGCTAGCGATAGATGAGCTTTCTATAGAACAGCTTTGAGCTAACGATAGATGAGTTTTCTATAGAACAGCTTAAGTCAGTGATAGATAAGCTTTCCATAGAGTGATTGAATAGATTGAGTTAGTGATAGAAAAGCTTTCTATAGAACAGCTTGTGATAGTGGTAAATAAGCTTTCTATTGAATAGCTTGAAATAGCTTTAGATTAATTTCACTTTTTGAAAGCTTTTTGGAATTGTTTCAATAATTTTTACCATTTTCTCCCAATGTTTTTTCGCAGTTGAACGCAAACCCTATTGGAAACGCAGCACGATCGAAACACAAATACAAGTGGCAAACTCTTCATTGCGTGACCGACAGTCCAATCATTTGGGCACCATCTGTAATCTTATACGACACGATAGTGCACCCGAAAAACAGCGAACGGACAGTGAAGGTTCACCTTTATGCATATCCATACACAATGGCATCGAAAGGCAAAAGGTTAAAATCAAATATATATCATGTGATGAAGACAATAATCCCATAGAATCATAAATATTTTTTTTTTAAATAAATTTGATTTTTTCTTTTCCCCTTAGAAAAGAACCAAATTCCTGTTGTAACTAAGTAAAATGTAAATTGTATAGTTTAAATTTTAAATAACATTAAAAAAATAAAATTGTTGTAATAAAATTACATCGAAAATACAATTTTCTACAAAAAAATAACTATAAAAACATTTAAGGTTTCTGTAACATTTTATTCTACTATATTGTCAGCAAAAAAGAAAAATCTATAAAAATTTTTGGAAAAAACAAACGAACAAATTTAGTTATTAAATTGTAAAGTGTAGGTGTGTTTGTATTATTTTTTTTTAACAATATATTTACTTAATTATAAACAAATATACAAACACACACACATTATTAGTATTACTATTGAGTAGTTATATAAATTGTATAAAAAATAAATATTTTTCTTACTTAGTAATTTTATTAGAATGAATTTAAGAGTTAAATTGAAATTATTCAATTATTTATGTAAATAGAGTGTTTTTTTTTTTTTTTTTTTTGTTCATTTATGTTTAAATATTAAGGTTTGTGTTTCTAAAACAATGAATAAAAAGGTAATTTAATGAATATATTGTAAATATTTACTAAATATACAATTTTCATGTATAGACAAATAAATAATTATTAAATAAAAGAACAAACATATTTTTCAGAAAAAAAAAACAAATTTTTGCATCGTCATTATGGAATGATTGAGCTTTAGGACAACTTGAGTAGGTGATGGATGAGCTTTCTATAGACCAGCGAGATATAGTTCAATAAAACAGTTTCTGTAGCGATTGATAACCTCTATACAGTGAGCTTTCTAAAAGAAATGCCTGATTTAGCGATAAAAACCGGATAAGCATCAGTTTGAGCTATCGATGAGCTTTCTATAGAATAGCTTGAACTACCGATAGATGGCCTTTCCGTCGAATAGCTAGTTTTAGCGATAGATGAGCTTTCTATAGAATAGCTTGATACAGCAATAGATAAGCTTTCTACAGAACAGCTTGCTCTAGCGATAGAAGAACTTTCTTTAGAACAGCTTGAGCTAGAGATAGATGAATTTTCTTCAGAACAGCTTGAGCTAGTGATAGGTGATCTTTCTTTAGAAGATCGTTAGATGACCTTTCTGTAGAACAGCTTTATCTAGCAATAGATGAGCCTTCTATAGAATAGATTAATCTAGCAACAGATGAGCTTTCTATAGAACAACTTGAGCTAGCGATAGACGAACTTTCTTTAGATCAATTTGAGCTAGCGAAAGATGAGCTTTCTTTAGAAGAGCTTGAACTAGCGATGGGTGAGTTTGCTTTAGATCAGTTTGAACTACCGAAAGATGAGCTTTCTTTAGATCAGTTTGAGCTAGCAAAATACGAGCTTTCTTTCGAAGAGCTTGAGCTAGCGATAGATGAGCTTTCTTTAGAACAGTTTGAGCTAAAGTTAGATGAGCTTTCTAAAGATGAGCTTTTATAAAAATGCTTGAACTAGCGATAGATATAAAGTACACGAATCATACTGTGATTCATATTTGTCCATTGTTGAGGTGCCGAATTGCCCATTATTAATTTCCAAAAATTTCGGACATAATCTCAACTGGTTTCCTAGACATAAATTACATTTTTAGTTTTGATACCTTGGCCTCAAAACTTATAGACGGTCCTCCAGTAGATCTATTATTGGCAGTATTAGCTTTTTTATCGAATCTAAAAGCGTGATCTCAGATCTTCTGGGGTAAAGAAGACTGCCACTTCATAAGATGATTTACGCCTTTGCCAAATTTTAGCTAATTTCACAACTATGTTGGCAATGCGATCAACAAAACTTATTCGATTCACAAACCTTAATGTGTAATTGTGAATCAATTTTAGCCAATTTCAACACCTTTGTGATAATACCAATCAAAATAGTGTAATATTGTGAATTTTCACTATGAAACTCACTCACCTTTCTGATAATACAGTGCAATATTAATTGGTTTTATAGATTGTATAAGAAATGTATTATTAAACGGTATTATCACATAGAAGCTTCAATATTAAAGTGCAATGTAAGGGTTTTCAAACTGTATCATTGAAGTTTATTTTCTTCGAATATTTCGTTATGTTAACAAACAAAATATTACCTTATGTAAATTTGCCTTGGCTTAAGTTATGCGAATGTTAGGCTTAAAAATAACAGCTGATGACAACAGCGCACCTAGTTGCATTCCTTTGGTTTTGGCAACGTCACCAGCTGGCGTAAAACAGGTATGGGCAAACCTCTGTTTAAACCTGAGCAACTATAAATCCCAATTTCGTTTTTCTCAGTTAAAGCAAAACATCAAAAAAACAAAAATTAATTGGAATTTTTATAAAAACCTAATTTCTCTACTATTCTTTAAATAGAAACGAATTTTATCACAAAAATAAACAAAATTTACGAAAGTTAACTTTCTTTTAAATGTCCCAAGGTCAGTAGTAAAGCAAACTAATTATTTTATGGTATTTTTAAGAGAAAATCTTCAGCTTCTAGGACTGCTGCCACCAGCAACAATGTGCCGTCAAGTAGTATCAATTCAGCTGGAAGTGTCAGTGATTTTGAAGCTGCCATAGCGGCTTGTGGTTTTGGTTGTTTCAATATTTGTCTGCTAATTGTTGCAATGTCACCTCTAATTTCGGCCATATTCTCAACATCAACATTGTCCTTTATATTGCCTACAGCCGAATGTGATTTACATTTGAATTTGATGCAAAAAGGTGTTTTGAATGCAATGTGTTTTGCGGGTAAGTTGAGGTGAAAGAAAAGGATGTTTTGTAAGGAGGTGATTGAAAAAGTAGCAACATTTTCAATCAATAAACAAAATTTTGTTTCAAATCACCAACTATTTAACAAAGTAGCCTTTTCCAACTAAACTAATTAAACATAGCCTTTAAATGCCCACTAACTAACCACAACACATGTGATTCATTCAAAAGGCATGATTGTTTCAGCCATACCCTGGGGCTATATAGCTGACACCATGGGGCGCAAAATGGTATTAGTATATGCTCTGCTCTTGGATGGTGTAATTGTCATTTGTACTGGCATCAGTCAGACTGTAAATCAACTTTTAATTTTTAAATTTTTCGATGGCTTTTTGTAAGTAAGAGGAAAACAAATCAACAAATCCCAATAATTAACGAGTAAACAACAAACTTTTACTTAAACACAGAGTTTGTGGCCCCTTTGCTGTGGTCATGTCGTATATTTCCGAATTTCATGGTCTAAAACATCGTTCACGCATTATGATGGGTATGGGCATGATAAAGGCAGCTGCTACTGTTATATTGCCCATTTTAGCTTGCACACTGCTGCCTTACCACTTCACTTTGGAAATGTGGTTTATAAAATGTAAGTAAAGGGTGATTTTTCTGTTAATGTTATGCAAATTTTATTTTTAAGTGTACACTTGGCATTTCTTCATACTTATTACTGCTGTTGTACCTTTACTTGGTGGCTTTTTAAATTCATTTTTTCCCGAGAGTCCTAAATTTCTTATGTCTCAAGGTCGCAATGATGAAGCTTTGGAATGTTTGCGCTTGGTTTATGCCATAAATAAGAGGAGGCCAAAGATTGAATATCCGGTATGTAAACAAAAAACAATATTAACAGAAATTAGAATTTAAGATTTCATCGACAACAGATTTTTATAAAAAAAAGTAAGAATGTAAGGTCTTTGTGTTTTAGGTGGTCTCCGGTAGGTTTGTGGTTAATGTTCTAGTCTGGTAGACCGGAAGTGGTGGGAGGCACTGGACAATAAACGCACAATATGTTCATTGAATCAACAACCAATTTCATTCCATCAATAAAATAGTTTCACAGTAGAAACTGCAAACAAATTCATAAAACTAATGAAACATTCTTCATTAATGCAACGAATTGCTATGTTAGCTCGTAAAAAATAAAAATTTTCATTGATCATGAATTCGTGAATTTTATGCCTAGAATGCAGCTATTTCTCTTAGTATTTCTGAAGGCATAGAAATATCGGACAGACTTATAACCCTACAAAAATTGCGGATATTCGTATAAAAAGTAGTCCATAAAAGATTAGGATTAGTAGCAAACTAGCCCAATTACAAATATGTATAAAGACCACGGACCATAATAGATCTAAGCCCCATTATATGGAGGATTCCCATAGTTCAGAAATCACGCTGTTATTCGCAAATCTCGTATTAATAACGATATCTATATATATAAAAATGAATGTGTGTTTGTTTGTATGTTTGTATGTTTGAACGTTATAGACTACTAAACGGCTGAACCGATTTTCTTGAAATTTTCACAGCATATTCCTGCATGTCTGGAATAGGTAATAGGATACTTTTTATTTCGAAATTTCAAGTGGGCGATGAGCCACGCCCACATTAAGAAAATATAAAATCTGTATATTTTAGATAATATAACAGTTAGAGTCCTCAAATTTTGTCGGAGCCACTTTAGTGTCAATATGATCATTTAGGACAAAAAGTAGGCGGACTAGCATTAGGGGGCGTGGTACCTCCCATATAAATTAAATACAAAAATTCGTTTATCTGGGAAACTAATAGAACTAAATTCTTAAAATTTAGCACGAAGAACTTTAACATCCATATAAACATTTTGGGTAATAAATTGGCGGACTACCCATGAGGGGAGCGGCACCTCCCATATTAATTAAATACAAAAATTCATTTATCTGGGAAACTAATAGAACTAAATTCTTAAAATTTTGCACAAAGAACTTTAACATCCATATAAACATTTTGGGTAAAAAATTGGCGGACTACCCATGAGGGGAGCGGCACCTCCCATATTAATTAAAAACAAAAATTCGTTTATCTGGGAAACTAATAGAACTAAATTCTTAAAATTTTGCACGAAGAACTTTAATATTCATCTGAACATTTTTAAGGAAAAAAGAGCGGACTTTCATCTGGGGGGCTTGGAGCCCCCCTATGAATAAAATAGAAAAAATCGTATATCTGAGAAACTATTAGAGCTAGAATCATTAAATTTTACTTGAAGAACTTTGACATTCACCTGAACATTTAGAGTATAACGGGCGGACATCCAATGGGTTACTTGGTACCTCCCATATGAATTAAATACAAAATTTCGTTTAACTGGGAAACTAATAGAACTAGATTCTTCAAATTTTGAACAAATTATTTTAATATTCATCTGAATATTTTGGAGGAAAAAGGGCGGTCTTTCATCCGGGGGGCTTGAAGCCCCCACATGAATTAAATTCGTATATCTGAGAAACTATTAGAGCTAGAATCTTCAAATTTTACATGAAGAACTTTGACATTCATGTGAACATTTAGAGAATAACGGGCGGACTTTCAATGGGGGGCTTGGCACCACATATATGAATTAAATACAAAATTTCGTGCATCTTGGAAACTCTTATATTATTCAAATTTTTTGTAGATAGATAGAAATTGGCGATAGATAGAAACTGGCGAACTTGCAATAATTTGCTTGACATCTTTCATATGTAACATATAATAAATCTGGTATTTATTTATACATATTCCTTTTAGGGTAGCAAAGCACACTGGGTATAGCTAGTTATACAATATATATATATATTTTTTTAAATAATTTTTTTTTTTCAGATAAAAAATTTACTAGATGAAGACCCCGAAAAAACTCAACATTATTCAGATCGTCACAGTAAGGAATACAAAGAAACCCACAAGACTATGGCTCAAAGACGTCAACGGACCAAAGAACAGTTTATTGAAGGTTTACGTCAATTGCGACCCATGTGTTCAAGTCCCTACCTAAAGCTATCGTTGCAAGTTTATTCCATGTTATTTTGCATACTGTTGGGGTAAAGGGATAACTCGTAACTAACACATTTTTTTCTAACAAAGTTAACTATGTCAATCATCACCAGCTTGATAAAACAACTATTTGGCAATATTATCCCATTTTAGAAAAAGACACTTAGTTACGCGGTATCAGTCTATGATCAGCGATATTTTTATAATTTCTTTTATAGACTCAATTCCATACGCTTATGGCTGCCACAAATTTTCGTCACCATGGTGGAATTTAAAGAGAAAAATATCAGTGTTATTAGTATGTGTACAGTGTTGCAATACAATTACAATAAAACGGTATTATTGGCAGCAGGCCAAGTAATGACCCATTGTGATGTGGTAAACATTATTTTTCTATATATATGAAATATTTATTGAAATAAAACAAAAAAAAAAATTTTTTTGAAATCTCTTGCAGCACATAAATGCCAGTTCGTATAGTGATAACATTGTGGTGGCAATAATTTCGTTTTTTTGCTTTTTATTAGTCACTATAGTGGTTAATAAACTGGGCAATAATAATGTCTTAAGTAAGTTGGAAGTTAATAACCAGAAACATGCCATATTAATGCTTTTTAATTTCATTATAGAAATCGCTTTATGCTTGGCCTTTCTTTCCGGTGTCACTATGTACTTTTCCAATTCCCATATGATGACTCTGATTTTGGCTTCGGTGTTTGTTAGTAGTGCTAGTGTTTCGGGCACTACTGTTATAAGTGTTTCGGTGAATTTGTTTCCTACAAATATGAGGTAGATATGTCCTTTGTTTTTATAACACACATCTTATAGAACAGACTAGAATAGAACTCGAACAGAACTAGAACTGAAATAGAACTACAACTGAAATAGAACTACAGCTGAACTAGAACTACACTAGAACTGAAATAGAACTATAACTAAACTAGAACTGAACTAGAACTGAACTAGAACTAGAACTAGAACTGAACTAGAACTGAACTAGAACTGAACTAGAACTGAACTAGAACTAAACTAGAACTGAACTAGAACTGAACTAGAACTGAACTAGAACTGAACTAGAACTAGAACTAGAACTGAACTAGAACTGAACTAGAACTGAACTAGAACTGAACTAGAACTGAACTAGAACTGAACTAGAACTGAACTAGAACTGAACTAGAACTGAACTAGAACTGAACTAGAACTGAACTAGAACTGAACTAGAACTGAACTAGAACTGAACTAGAACTGAACTAGAACTGAACTAGAACTAGAACTGAACTAGAACTGAACTAGAACTGACTAGAACTGAACTAGAACTGAACTAGAACTGAACTAGAACTGACTAGAACTGAACTAGAACTGAACTAGAACTGAACTAGAACTGAACTAGAACTGAACTAGAACTGAACTAGAACTGAACTAGAACTGAACTAGAACTGAACTAGAACTGAACTAGAACTGAACTAGAACTGAACTAGAACTGAACTAGAACTGAACTAGAACTGAACTAGAACTGAACTAGAACTGAACTAGAACTGAACTAGAACTGAACTAGAACTGAACTAGAACTGAACTAGAACTGAACTAGAACTGAACTAGAACTGAACTAGAACCTAGAACTGAACTAGAACTGAACTAGAACTGAACTAGAACTGAAACTAGAACTGAACTGAACTGAACTAGAACTGAACTAGAACTAGAACTAGAACTGAACTAGAACTGAACTAGAACTGAACTAGAACTGAACTAGAACTGAACTAGAACTGAACTAGAACTGAACTAGAACGAACTAGAACTGAACTAGAACTGAACTAGAACTGAACTAGAACTGAACTAGAACTGAACTAGAACTGAACTAGAACTGAACTAGAACTGAACTAGAACTGAACTAGAACTGAACTAGAACTGAACTAGAACTGAACTAGAACTGAACTAGAACTGAACTAGAACTGACTAGAACTGACTAGAACTGAACTAGAACTGAACTAGAACTGAACTAGAACTGAACTAGAACTGAACTAGAACTGAACTAGAACTGAACTAGAACTGAACTAGAACTGAACTAGAACTGAACTAGAACTGAACTAGAACTGAACTAGAACTGAACTAGAACTGAACTAGAACTGAACTAGAACTGAACTAGAACTGAACTAGAACTGAACTAGAACTGAACTAGAACTGAACTAGAACTGAACTAGAACTGAACTAGAACTGAACTAGAACTGAACTTGAACTGAACTAGAACTGAACCAGAACTGAACTAGAACTGAGCTAGAACTGAACTAGAACTGAACTAGAACTGAACTAGAACTGAACTAGAACTGAACTTGAACTGAACTAGAACTGAACTTGAACTGAACTAGAACTGAACTAGAACTGAACTAGAACTGAACTAGAACTGAACTAGAACTGAACTAGAACTGAACTAGAACTGAACTAGAACTGAACTAGAACTGAACTAGAACTGAACTAGAACTGAACTAGAACTGAACTAGAACTGAACTAGAATTGAACTGGAACTGAACTAGAACTGAACTAGAACTGAACTAGAACTGAACTAGAACTGAACTAGAACTGAAGTAGAACTGAAGTAGAACTGAAGTAGAACTGAACTAGAACTGAACTAGAACTGAACTAGAACTGAACTAGAACTGAACTAGAACTGAACTAGAACTGAACTAGAACTGAACTAGAACTGAACTAGAACTGAACTAGAACTGAACTAGAACTGAACTAGAACTGAACTAGAACTGAAGTAGAACTGAACTAGAACTGAACTAGAACTGAACTAGAACTGAACTAGAACTGAACTAGAACTAGAACTGAACTAGAACTGAACTAGAACTGAACTAGAACTGAACTAGAACTGAAGTAGAACTGAAGTAGAACTGAACTAGAACTGAACTAGAACTGAACTAGAACTGAACTAGAACTGAACTAGAACTGAACTAGAACTGAACTAGAACTGAAGTAGAACTGAATTAGAACTGAACTAGAACTGAATTAGAACTGAACTGGAGCTGAACTAGAACTAATCTTGAACAGAACTAGAACTACAACTGAACTTGAACATTATTAAAGGAACATGTAATGAACCAATGTATAATTAATGAGCTATTTCTCTACCCAACACTGTACGAATTACATTCTCTGCGATTTCACAAAAGAAATTTAAGTCTGTAATTTATTTACTATATGGTTGCCCAGCAACTAACTTGATGCCTTAAATACTTATCAAGAAAACGGAAAAAACAAAATGTTAAACACTAGTGGGAGTCACACTATGGAAAACACATCCAGAGATGACATTAAATGGTTCAACATCTAAACAAATTACACGCACAGTAAATACACAAAGTCAAATAAGACAACAAACAAAAGCCTAGTGGTTGGTTAGTGATGTCATGGCATTAGATTACACAAAGCAGCTAAATCTTTTTTTAAGAATTTATCTAAAACAAATGTAAAGCCGCACTAGTATTTAAAAATAATAAAAACTGAAATGATAAGCGAGATTTGTTTGTTAATTAAAACGTTTAATTTTTTCAATGCATTTACAGAACAATGGTTATAATAATGGTGATGACATTTGGTCGCTGTGGCTCCCTTTTGGGCAATATATTATTTCCCTATTTTATATCATTGGGTTGCATACCACCATTTCTTCTAATAGGTGGTGTAATGACAGGTAATATTTTATAAAATGTGTTAAAATACTATTTAAATGACTCAATTTGTTTAATTTTTTTGCACAGTGTCTTTTGTTTTAAGTCTGTTCCTACCGAACTCCAACAAAATTGCTTTGAAATGATAATGGTAATCTTTTTATACGTTTATTAAGTATAAATCAAAAAGTTTTTATACGTTATATTTTATTTCTTTTAATAAAAATTTAAATTTGAAATTAAAATATTTTTGCAGAAAATATATGAAAGATCACAGATTTTATATATTTTATTATTTTCAGTTCTTATTAGAATTTCATTAATTTCATCACTTAAAATAATATGAATGAATAAAGATGTGTGTAAATTAAAAACAAGTAAGAAAGTATAGTCGGGCGTGACCGACCATATGATACCCTACACTAGTTATGAATATTAATATTTCATAATAATTCATTGTTCCGATACATTTAAGCAATTTATGGATGAAAAACTAATTTTCTCAAAGAGGCTTTATATGGGGGCCTAGGGGCAAATATGGACCAAGCCCGATAAAGTTTTGTGAATATATTTATATTTATATAATATTTATCTGTGCTGAATTTCATCGCGATATTTGTCTTTATAAGTTAATTTTGAACATTCAAGTAATTTTCTGAAGGGGACTTTGTATGGGAGCTAGGGTCAAATGAGGCCTGATCTTTATGAAATTTGGCAAGGTCATCAAGGCTTGTATAAAACTTAGTTGTGCCTGTTCTGTTGTATGGGGGTAAGGTGAAATAATGGACCGATTTTAATTATTTTCAATAGGCTTCGTCCTTGGGCCGAAAAAATTTCATCCAATTAGCTTGAAAATTGCGACCTGTACCTTGCGCACAAGGTTTACATGGACAGCCAGCCAGACGGACGGACATAGCTTAATACTTTAAGGTGGGTATAGAACGAATATTTTTGTATGTTACAAACATCAGCACAAACTCAATATACCCTCCCCACTAAAGTGGTGTAGGGTATAATAAAATGTATCTGTTTGTTTTTGGCAGCTTATCTTTTTGAGTTTTCGCAAAAAAAAAAAAACTGACGTCAAAAATGACTTGTCATTAAGTAAATAATATTTGGTACATGATAAACATACATATGTAAGTTACCTTCACGTTGTCAGAAAAATTAACTCGAAATCACCCATAGTTGTTAATTGAGGAAAGTAAAACCTTAATACTATCGTTTTTGAATCGCAAATGTTTAACGCTTATGATACTTGTCAATATTGGAACTATTTTTTAAAACGGACTCTATCCCATTCTCAAAATTTTGAATAACTTCAAAATACTAAATTAATTTTCCACTAGACTATAGGCCAGACTCTAGACTAGACTATAGACAGAACTATAGACTAGACTATAGACTTTTTTATAGTCAAAACCATAGACTTTTCATTTGCCAAGACTATAGAGACTTTTCTATTATCAAGACTTTTCTCACTGCTCTATAGTCATTACTATTGGCTGATCTATAGTGCAGAATATGGACTGTTCCATAGTTTAGATTATAGATTGATTTTTAGCGAAGTCCATAGACTTTTTATAGAAAAATTTAATAAAAGAAACAAAAACAAATTGTACTAGTTATTTCAAATCACTGACCTTTTTCTTTTGTTGTTCAAATAACGATATTCTCCCGTTTTTATTTCCTTGCATACAAAAACAATATTTCCATTTTGCTACATATGTATATGTACATATTTACATACATACATGCCCACCAATTCTTCTTCTTTAACTTTTTTTTAATATTTTTCACACTTTTTCTCCTCAGACTTTTTTCAAACAAACTTTACCACTACCCCCTTTTATTAACGCTTTCTCATTACTTAACAAAACGCATGGCGCGACAAAAGAAAAAAAAACACCGACCGGAGCTCGTCCGGTCATTGAATTTTTGGCAATTTTTAAAACACTTTTTTAAACTAATAATTTAACAACTATTAATAAACATTTTTCTATAACGGTATTTATTAACAATTTTCAACAAAAATATTTAAATATTAACGCTTTAGATTAATTTAACCAGGACTATCAACACTAAACAACCGAACGCGTTAGAAATTTTTAGCAACTAAAGAAGAAGACAAATAACTAAAGCAACAAATGACAATAGAAATTGTCATTGTTGGTGTTATAGTTGTTGTTGTTGTTATTATTAGTACATACTCCATTTAAAGAGCAAATATCTAATAACAATAACAATAACAACAACTGCAATAAGTGATGGATGCTTCTTGTTATTGTTCCATTTCATTAGTTTTCTTAATATTTCTAACGTGTTCGGTTGTTTGGCATTAGTGGTACTGTTTAAATTAAGCTAAAACGTTAATTAATTGTTAATAATAAAATATTTTTATTGTATAATATTAAACAAATGTTAATTTATATCGGTATATAAAAATATTTATGAAAAATGTTTTAGAAATTTGTGAAAAAAGTGAAAATTTAATAAAAATGTGCAATTTGCCAAATTTGTTAAGGCAATTGTCGTTGTTTCTTGGTTTCCAGGGCTATTCTTAAGCCGCCGAACACGAAAGAAAGTGCTATTGAGTGGGAGTGTAAGAGTTATTGTTTCTATTACATTATTACAATTATGTATTTAAAGAAGAAATTGTATATTAGCAAAATTTGAGATAAATGTAATTATTGTGTTTTTAAAAGCTGTGAAATAAGGAGACAACTACAATTACAACAACAAAAATAAAAATAAAGGTAAGTAACTTTAATACCAGGCATGGAAAATTTAAATTTCGAAATAATACTAACTTAAAACAAAAATAGTACTTTTTAGGGTTTAAAGTACTAAGTGCTAGACTATAAAGCAGACTTTAGACTACATAATAGATTAGACTATAAGATTAATCTATAGACATTATAGACTAGACTATAGACTAGACTAGACTATAGACTAGACTATAGACTAGACTATAGACTAGACTATAGACTAGACTATAGACTAGACTATAGACTAGACTATAGACTAGACTATAGACTAGACTATAGACTAGACTATAGACTAGACTATAGACTAGACTATAGACTAGACTAGACTATAGACTTAGACTATAGACTTGACTATAGACTAGACTATAGACTAGACTATAGACTAGACTAGACTAGACTATAGACTAGACTATAGACTAGACTATAGACTAGACTATAGACTAGACTATAGACTAGACTATAGACTAGACTATAGACTAGACTATAGACTAGACTATAGACTAGACTATAGACTAGACTATAGACTAGACTATAGACTAGACTATAGACTAGACTATAGACTAGACTATAGACTAGACTATAGACTAGACTATAGACTAGACTATATACTAGACTATATACTAGACTATAGACTAGACTATAGACTAGACTATAGACTAGACTATAGACTAGACTATAGACTAGACTATAGACTAGACTATAGACTAGACTATAGACTAGACTATAGACTAGACTATAGACTAGACTATAGACTAGACTATAGACTAGACTATAGACTAGACTATAGACTAGACTATAGACTAGACTATAGACTAGACTATAGACTAGACTATAGACTAGACTATAGACTAGACTATAGACTAGACTATAGACTAGACTATAGACTAGACTATAGACTAGACTATAGACTAGACTATAGACTAGACTATAGACTAGACTATAGACTAGACTATAGACTAGACTATAGACTAGACTATAGACTAGACTATAGACTAGACTATAGACTAGACTATAGACTAGACTATAGACTAGACTAGATTATAGACTAGACTAGACTATAGACTCTAGACTATAGACTATAGACTAGACTAGACTAGACTATAGACTATAGACTAGACTAGACTAGACTAGACTAGACTAGACTAGACTAGACTAGACTAGACTAGACTAGACTAGACTAGACTAGACTAGACTAGACTAGACTAGATTAGACTAGACTAGACTAGACTAGACTAGACTATAGACTAAACCATAGAATAGACTAGACTATAGACTAGACTATAAGCTAGACTATAGACTAGACTATAGACTAGACTATAGACTAGACTATAGACTAGACTATAGACTAGACTATAGACTAGACTATATACTGGACTATAGACTAGACTATAGACTAGACTATAGACTAGACTATAGACTAGACTATAGACTAGACTATAGACTAGACTATAGACTAGACTAGACTAGACTATAGACTAAACCATAGACTAGACTAGACTATAGACTAGACTATAGGCTAGACTATAGACTAGACTATAGACTAGACTATAGACTAGACTATAGGCTAGACTATAGACTAGACTATAGACTAGACTATAGACTAGACTATAGACTAGACTATAGACTAGACTATAGACTAGACTATAGGCTAGACTATAGACTAGACTATAGACTAGACTATAGACTAGACTATAGACTAGACTATAGACTAAACTATAGACTAGACTATAGACTAGACTATAGACTAGAATATAGACTAGAATATAGACTAGACTATAGACTAGAATATAGACTAGACTACAGACTAGAATATAGACTAGACTATAGACTGTACTATAGAATAGAATATAGACTATACTAAAGGCGATACTATAGACTGTACTATAGACTATACTATAGACTAGACTATAGGTGATACTATAGACTGTACTATAGACTATACTATAGACTAGACTATAGACTGAATACTATGTGGACTACTTATCAAAAGTTTATTAGTTAGAAAAAGTACCGAATAAGTTGTGGGGGTACCGCGGTATTTTTCGAAATGAAAAAGTTCTACTGAATTTTCCATGCCTATT